CTGTCATTCATCCTTACCAACGGCATTAATATTTCATTCTGTACAGCAGCTTATACTTTTCAAAGCACTTCGTACAAAATCTCTAATTCCTACAAGAAGCCTGAAATATGAGTTTGCATGATTATGCTCATATTACAGATTGAAGCAAGGAGGGGCTTAGGCTTTGAAATGGCGGTTTGCAAAGGCTACCAAGTTCACGACATTGGTGACATTGGTGACTCAGAGACTTCCTAAATCACAACTCAAGCTTCTTAAGCACTAGGCTACATCAGCCTTCATTCTAATCATTACTGCTCCTAATTCTTAACACAGTTAATGAAGTTTCGCAGCGTGGGATGTGAGTTTGGGGCTTAAGCAGAACACTTCCACATGCTGGAAGTTTAAATCAAAGAGGAAGAAACTGCATATTCGTGTCATTTGATGAGGTCTTCATAAAGATTCTATACTTTTGTTAATATATATGTTAACATATCCTTATACAGTGGTGCCTCGCTTAACGATTGCTTCGTACAACAAAAAATTCACTTAATGATGGCTTTTTCAGAGCAATCTTGTGCTTCACTTAACGATTTCCCTACATCCATTACTCCTATGTCTCAGAATGGCTTCTTTTACATAAAGTGGAGTCTTTCACATATTGCCTGCAAAGCGCTTCCTCAGTTATCCTAAAACAACCAGCACATAACACAAAGCACTGTGTCTTTGCTCAAAGAATGCCTTTTATGGTTCAAAACTCTTTACTGATAGCACTCAGTAGAGGTATCTGTGGAATCAGTTATCAGGGTATTGCTGGGCTAACATATTCTCCCTGTCCTAACTCTGACATAACAAAATGGGGTGGGTGGGTTGTATCAGCAGGATAACTCCCTATGATTCAGAAATGTTCCATATATACTGTCCTAAACCGGGGGGTAGGGGGGCAGCAGCTTCAGCTGGCAAACAGCTAAGTAGCCAATGGTAGGGATGTGCACTGGCACCGAAATTCAGATCCAGAATTTGGAATTACAGCTCTTACTGGTGTTTCGCTTAACGATGTTTTCACATAGCGATGTTTTTTTTGGAACCAATTAAAATCGTTAAGCGAGGCACCACTGTATTTAGTAGTTCTCCTGTGAATAACTGCTGGTTTTTGCTTTTTGTTTTTGTATTCCTAATGGAATTGATTCCATTACTCCTATGTCTCAGAATGGCTTCTTTTACATAAAGTGGAGTCTTTCACATATTGCCTGCAAAGCGCTTCCTCAGTTATCCTAAAACAACCAGCACATAACACAAAGCATTGTGTCTTTGCTCATAGAATGCCTTTTATGGTTCAAAACTCTTTACTGATAGCACTCAGTAGAGGTATCTGTGGAATCAGTTATCAGGGTATTGCTGGGCTAACATATTCTCCCTGTCCTAACTCTGACATAACAAAATGGGGTGGGTGGGTTGTATCAGCAGGATAACTCCCTATGATTCAGAAATGTTCCATATATACTGTCCTAAACCGGGGGGTAGGGGGGCAGCAGCTTCAGCTGGCAAACAGCTAAGTAGCCAATGGTAGGGATGTGCACTGGCACCGAAATTCAGATCCAGAATTTGGAATTACAGCTCTTACGATTTGGAATTTGGAATTTTAAAAATTCTGTAATTTCTGGATATCCAGAACTCTGTTGCAGTCAATATGAATACTACTTCTTCCCTTAAAAAAACAAGCAAAACATTTTAAAAAGGCTTTCCCTGCGTCTTCTGACACCTGCCCAGTGATTATGCCAAACAAAAAGAGTGCACACCAACAGCCAGCAGTATCAGGAAATGATTGTAATGGGCATACCTACTGAAGCCTGAACAGTGGGAATGCCACCAGCATTGGGAAAGCAGAGGGAGACAGATCGCACTGAGGAGCGGGGTTTACTGATAGCACTCAGTAGAGGTATCTGAGGAGCGGGCAAATGCAGTGGGCAGCAGTGGCAGGCAGATGGGAACAGGAGACAGCCCGTGGTGGGGTGGGAACTGTGCCAACATCATGAAACACAGCACACTCAAGTGAGAGAGCACTTGGAAGAATGAAAGAGGCAGAAGGCGACAGCAGACTGAAGAATGGCACAGTCCTGTGAGCAGAGTGTGCCATGCTCTTACTTAAAGGGGTCTTCAGGGAAGCTCAGCAATAGTAAATTGACCTTAAGGAAAATGTTTTTCTATAGATCCAGGTGTAAGCAGTGTGGACTGAGAATGTCAGAGAGAACAAACTTGCACTAGGCACACTAATTGGTGGGCAAGGTTGCAATCTCACTGCCACCTTGCTTAGAGCTCCCCAAAGAGACTCCTTCTCAGCCCAGTAAGAAAAGGAATCAACCTCTTTTGGCTTGCAGGGCGAGGTTGCAATCTCACTGCCACCTTGCTTAGAGCTCCCCAAAGAGACTCCTTCTCAGCCCAGTAAGAAAAGGAATCAGCCTCTTTTGGCTTGCAGGGCTCCTGCATGTACTCCTCTACCTATGGCTCTACCACGCACTTCCTTTAAAGCAAAGAGTGTGCTGCTTAGGGCCATGTACTCCTCTACCTATGGCTCTACCATGCACTTCCTTTAAAGCAAATAGTGTGCTGCTTAGGGCAGTGTCTCTGGAGGACAGGGCCCTACAATGCTTGTCAAGACAGGACCTCAGAAAGATTGTCCTGTTATTGCAGGGGCGAGGGACTTGGGACAACTGCTGGTACAGTGGTGCCTCGCTAGATGATAATAATCCATTCCACTGAAATTGCTGTTTAGCGAAATCATCGTCTAGCGAAAAGCATTTCCCCATTGGAATGCATTGAAACCTGTTTAATGCGTTCCAATGGGGAAGAATCGTCGTTGTCTAGCGAAGATCGGCCATAGGGAAGCGCTTTGCGAACTGCTGATCAGCTGTTTAAATAGCTATCTTGCGAAACTTAGGTCCTGACCACAGAGAGAGCTGTCAAAATCACTGTCTAGCAAAAATTGGTTTGCGAAGCAGGGACCAAACATTGTCCAGTGAAATTCCCCCATAGGAATCCCTGTTTTGCGAATCACTATAGAAATCACAAAAAGTCAATGTCTAGCAAAAAAATTGTCATGCGGGGTAACTGTCTAGCGAGGCACCACTGTACTGGGGTGCTGTGGACATTGCTAGTTTCTTTCCACTCTGTGTGACTCCTAAGTGCCAGCTGTACCTTCTTTGTTAACTGCTGCTACATGTGCTGGAAATTTGGCTGGCATTGCCCAACCTATTGCTGCTGCTTCATATCTGTTGCCTGCTAATTTGGAGGTTAAAAAAGAAAAAACACCTAGCCTTTTGCTTTCTAATCTACATGAGTTAACTTTGAATATTAAAAATTATTATTACGGAATCCGCACTGAATTTACCTTTACCAAAATTTGCAAATGCAATTGCCAGTTGGAGCTTTAGTACCTCTGGTCAACCCCAAACACTATGGCAGGGGCACATGAAAAAAAGAGCTAGTTATTGATGGAGCAGCCAAAAAACTTGTTGTGACTCCCTTCCCTCTCTGGGAATTGTACACGGAAAGGAAAAGGAGGCAAAACAGGAACCTATGAGCTGTCATTTCAAGTATATGACTTGTTACATCCCCTGGAAATGTACGAGGCAGTTTGGCAAAGCTGCAGTCCCAACAGATTCCAGGTTGAAGCCAGTTGAGTGCAAGTGATTCCAATACTTTTTTACAAGTTACAAGAGGCTCCTGCTAAGAACTGAGCAGAAACATCCAAGCCTTTTTCACCCCGACACCTATCATGTATATTATGTTGCACAGAGGAATTTAATGAGAAATAAATCGAGGAGTACAGGACGTTAGCTATTTCAGCGCATTAGATTTTATGAACAAATGATGTAGTAGGTGTTGTTAATGTTAATTCCTGTCTCCCCCTCTGTCTTTCTTCTTTCTTTCACATTTGAACAACAATATATACAAACACTTCCTACAACGTCAGCAATTAACACCCAAAATGTAGGAACAAACACCCTAGTGATGCTAAAACAAGAGTGCCAGGCAATTAACTCATGACCCTTTAAAAAACTGCTTCCAACTGCAGGGAGCTTTACTCCCACTGGCGACAGAATGACCTGGTGACAGCTCTTGTACCACCGGAGATCCTGTTCCCTCCCCACACCCTGTTCTGACTGGAAGTGGGATTCCAAAACATGACCTTAAAGGTGAAGCACAGGAGACATCCTGCTGGGCCCAATGCCTGTTAACTTAATCTGGATTTTGCCCTCTCCTTCCCCTCAGGAAACTGTATTGCATGTCATGATGAACAGCACACAGACCTCTATTTCTGAAGTGACACTTCAAAGGTCTATTACAGCAGTCGACCAAAAGTGTTTGGAGTGCAACATGCCCCTTGCTAAACGTGGTATCGTCATATCTAAATACTGGAATGCCTAAGATACATTTAAAAGCAGTATAGATCTGCCTTTGGAGAAATAGAGAAAGGAGGAGGAGAAGGAAGTGGTTGCATAAGAAAATGGGAAGACATATGCCTCTGATTGAAAGTCAATGTAGAACTAGATTACTTAATCTAATTACAAGTCTAATTGTTATTTTTTTTAAAAAAAAACACACACAATGGGGAAAACAACTAGCTAAATGCAGAGAATATATATTTCCCATAATCCGTAGTCTGATCCTAAGATACTTGAGCAAATAAGGCGTATGGTAAGAATGATCCTATTCCAGAGTCGGGGCCCAAAGTATGATGAGCCACATATATAACCTGAATGAGCATATTTTCCCTCTCTCTGTGTGTTTACATAACAGCGAATTCCTAATACATAACATGTAATAGAAAAAGGAAGGCCACTGATTGCACAGGGATTGTCCTCTTAGTCCCCTGCTCCATTTTTACATTATACGAACATTGCCAAATATGTAAGCTGAGGCAAAGAAAACTATAATATTTACAAATTCTATTAACCCCTGCCTTTGACCATGGAATTAGAGGTTCTCCAGAGGGAAAGTTGGCCTTAATAACTGTGACATACCTCTTCCCTGTGCTCTTCTCCAGAGCGCTGAATAAACCACCGAATGGAAGCTCGCTGGGACTTTGGAATACATTCCAGGAACGTTGAATTAAATTCAATGCCAAAAATCACCTTTTCATCAGTGGTTTCATGACTAATGCCTGGAAAGCAAACATGGTGCAGAAGATTAACCCTGCCCTGATTTCTTTAAGCAAGGGAAAAACATGGCTGATGCAGAACAGATGCCTAGAGCAGCACACGAAACTGTTAAGGAAACCAAAGGCACTTCAGGTTTCATACAGGACACCAAGGTTTCGTCTGAAGCAAGTCAGACTCTATATCAGTGTCAGTAATAGACTAGATGGGGTAAATAAAATATCCAGACAAGACAGATAAGTATTCCTTCTTTAAGCAAGGGAAAAACATGGCTGATGCAGAACAGATGCCTAGAGCAGCACACGAAACTGTTAAGGAAACCAAAGGCACTTCAGGTTTCATACAGGACACCAAGGTTTCGTCTGAAGCAAGTCAGACTCTAGATCAGTGTCAGTAATAGACTAGATGGGGTAAATAAAATATCCAGACAAGACAGATAAGTGTTCCGGTTAGTCAACAGGCAGATCAAGGAATAGGGATACAGCCTCTGCTGGATGGGGCTGCACTCCCTCTAAAAACACAGTTGTGCAGCTTGATGGTGCTCTTGGATTCGCTATGAGCCTAGATGCCCAGGTTTTGGCGGTGCCCAGGAGTGCCTTTGCACAATTAAAACTAGTACACCAGCTATGTCTGTTTCTTGAGAGGACTTATCTGGCCAGAGTGACACATGCCTTACATTATTGTACATGGGGCTTCCTGTGGAAAATGTCCGGAAACTTCATCAGGTCCAAAATGTGGCAGCCAGATTGCTAACTGGGGCTTGGCCGCAGGAATTGCACAGCCCCCTTTTACAACAGCTCCACTAGATGCTGATCTGTTTCCAGGCACAATTAAAAGTGCTGATTCTAACCTATAAAGCTCTAAACTTCTGGGGTCCAAGCTATCTCAAGGACTGCATCTCCCTTTATGAGCCTTCTCAAGTGTTTAGATCATCAGGAGAGGCCTTTCTCTTGGTCCCACCACCTTCATAGGTGTGTTTGGTGAAGACACAGGAGAGAGTCTTCTCTATCACTGCTCCCAGACTTTGGAACTCCCTCCCACAGGAGGCCAGGCTGCCCCCATCTTTGCTGGCCCTCTGTAAGCAGATGAAGACATTTCTTTTCAAGAAAGCTTTCCCTTAGTAACTGGCTGTCTGAGTGGATAGTTGTGTTGTACAATTTTGAACGTGGCTTTGGTGTTGCTTTTGTTTCCCATATTTTAGTGTGATATTTGTTGATCCTTATTGTTTTTTAGCTTTAAATATTGTCTTAGGGATGAACGTTGCCTTGGATTCTTCTTAAGGAGAAAGGTGGGGTAAAATATTTTAAATAAATACATTCATATTTATGTCTAAATTGGGCACTTGCTTTCCTTTACACCGTTGAGAAAATTGGAATTTGATGTGTGTTCTTTCTTACAGGAAATATCCCACATTTAATGAGTGTGGGGACAGTGACGATGGAGAAAAAATCCTGGATGTTAGTGAGAGATTCATGCTTCGTCCTGGAACTTTTTGAAAGTTGTGGAAGTGGAGCAGATACAACAATATGCTTTCCACATGCTTCCCATCTTCAGAGAACCAGAATTGCATCTGCTTAGGTTCTATAGGGGCCTTCAGAACATTAGCGGAAGTGAGGCTAAAGCTGGCAAAACTTCATCACCCATGTGTAATCAAGGATCTCTTGTAGATAGCTAAGGTGCTTATCAGAAATTCAACTTCCACTATCAAAAACTAAGTCCTGATTTATTCTACACAACTGATTAATACAACAGATCAATCCAGAAATTGCCTTCTTAACACTTGTTTCTCTTTGAGTCAGGTCTCAAACCCACAAACTGGGAGCAAAGAAAGCTATAGTCTTCATTAAAGCCGTCTGTGCTCTGGCCCATTAAACTGTCTCTTATTTTACTGTACAATCGGGCTGTATGAAAATAACTGGAGAGCAATTGAAAGCAGATTGAATGGAATATTAAAACAAATGTAAAAAAAACCCTATTATTTTGCTTTAGCGGTTTTTCCTTTCTCCTTCTTTTAAAAAAGAAAGCAAAATACCCAGAGTTGAACATTTTAAAATTGATGTTATGTTGTCAGAGAAATCTGAATGTAACCGCAAGAGTGAATATAGATAATGCAGATTATAAAAGAACTTCACCAGTTGCCAGGGGAATGAGCCAGACAGTTTGGCACGTTCATGGAGAGCTATGTTTGTGAGAGACAGTAGTCTCTCAGAAAGATGGGGACAGTTTAATTACCGGGGAAGAATTAAAAGTTTGGGATAACCTGATAGCTGGATGAAAGATTTTGGATTTTTGTTGAATATGTTTTGTGTGGAAAGAAGACAAACAAATGCAGAAACACATTTCCTGATTTTCCCTAAATGGAGTTCTGCTAAGTTGGCTGTCTTCTCTAAGCAGACCTCCTGCATGGGGCTAGAAAGTTCTGGCATTAGTTTCACTCGGTGAGAGCACTTTTAGACATGGATTTACTCTTTCCCCACATGCACTTCTTCCATATCTCTCTGTCTGTCTCTCTGTCTATCTACCTAACCACCCATAAATCTGCTTCAGTAATCTTTGTAGGCTGGTGAGTTTCAAGAGGCTACTTTGACTTCACTCAATTTATGAAACTTAAAAATGGTAGGCACAGCTTACGGATCCTCGGCCCATACAAGCACATTCAAGGATGGGGTTTAGACTAAACTCATTCTTGAAACAATTATTTTCAGTGCTAGCTTTCAGTCCTAGAATGGAACAACCAAGAATAGAGGATCTCTGAGCCAATGTGAAATGTGTTTTGCTCCTCACAGATTTAGGATGGCCAGACTATGCATGTAGGAGCTAAGCACAAGCATCTTATCTTTTAATATTGTTCCTTTTAATGGTGTAAGCTGTCTTTGATCTTTTTAGGGAGAAAAAGTTAGCATATAATTTTAAATAGATAAATAAAATATAATAGAGAAGTGAAAGTCATGCTTTCCGGGCAGAACTGAGTATCAAAATATGTTTAAAAGGATTTAGCCTCTGCTTAAGGATAGGAATGAGAGCACTGCTACATTTCTAACCTCAGAATCTGGTCTTTAGAAAAGGTAACCAGTTTTCTTCAAGTATCTACTTATCATTTTTGATGGTGATGGTGGGGAACCATGAGATGTACTTACTTTCTTCAACATCCCAGCACTGGGTGATGGGGTCTCCATATTTGACATCCTGCCTCCTTGCACGCCTATAAAAAGACCATAAGATTTGCAATGACTTTTTGGAAGTTCCACCTGCTGCCTACCTCGCCAGGAATGGAACCCAGAGTAGGTGATGTATCCATAGTCCTATGCAGAATCAGGTAATGCTCTGCACATACAAATGTGCTGTCAGAAGCAATATAATCAAAACAGAACTTTCAGAGTTCACCATTGTTAAGTCAGATACAATATGTTTCAGTGAAGGTGGTCCATACTTTGGACTGAACCAAATTAAATGTAATGTGGAAGACTGAGATACTAGCACAGGGTAGGGATTTGGTTGGGTCTGTGACAATGATGGATGAGAAATTAAAAGGCAGTTAAGTTTTCTTTTTTCCTATGAGAAGCAGCAGCAGCTTGTGTTACATGCTGTCAGGTCACACTCAACTTGTAGCAACCCCCACTAGAGTTGTCAATGAATGTGAGATATTTAAGGAATAGTTTTACAGTGCCACTCCTTACTGAGTTTCTATGGATGAGTGGAGATTTATACCCATGTTTCCCGAGTCCTAATCCATCACTCTATCTACTTTACCACACTGGTCTCACAGCAGTACCTTAGGAACCCACTCTGGGTAGGGAAATGGCAAAGAGTTACCCACACTGGTCTCACAGCAGTACCTTAGGATAGGGAAATGGCAAAGGGGAAAGAGTTAACCCCCTCCAGGTTTCCAGTCTCTGGTTCAGAAGCTTATGGGTAAACAAAGAGATCACATGAGATTCTAGGACAGATCTCACATGCCTTACAGATCGACAAGGGATCCTGGACACAACGGTGATAAATACCAAGTGAGTAACCAAAAATCATGCATTTTGTACTGGAATTGCAAAGGTGTTCAAGGATTCCTTCTGCTCAGTATGAATAGGAGGCTGCAGCTGTGTATGAAAGTACAGAAAATGATAGCAGAAAAGGTGATGTTCTATGACAGGTAGAGTTTTTGAGTCCTGATAAATAAATGGCAATGCCCATTCTTGATTACTCCTTCCCTTTAGCTTCCTATGTATCCTATCAGAATGGGAAGAGAGAGCTCTATAGACCCACTAGAGATCAGGTAAGAACTGCGTCCTAAGAACTCACTGGGAGGCTTGACAAATGAGGGCTGGCTTTCCTTACCTTTTAGATGTTGGTGTATATCTGGAACATGCATTTCCATCCCAAGCACAGTATGGGTCTCTGGCAAGGCAACAGTCTGCACAAGCTTTTCCATACGTATGACATCTGTGTAGCGAGAGCTGAGCCAATCCATCTCTGGAACCAATGTACAATTGTTGCTGAAAATCAGGCACGGCAAAAGAATTAGAAACGTTCTTCAAGCAATTCCCCCCTCCCCTTTCAATGTATCAACTGCATTTTGGCCATTTTTCATTTTCAAAACTACTCTTTTCTCTTACTACAGAAATACTTGTATGCATATCCAATCTTCTGTTTATATAGCTAATGAAATCTTGGTTCAGCCATTAATGAACAGTTGCTATAATCTCTCTTTATTTCAGTTCATGTCTGAACTGGATAAAGCTACCCATTTCGGCAGTGCCTAACCAACAGACTATAGTGGTACAGTGATATAAAGCAAGACAATTCTCTCATTTGCACATTTACTGCTAATCTACCAGCTGCAGTCATTCCTTAATGGCCCATCTGGCTATAGTAATACATGCCTTTATTACATCCTGCTTAGACTAATGCAATGTGCGATATGTGGTGCTTCCTTAGGATTGTTCAGAAAATTCATTTGGATCAAAATGCTACAGACTAACTAGGGAATAGAACCCATTATAAGGGACCTTTGTTACAACACCTCAATTATGATCATCAATTTTCAGGCCAAAGTCAAATTACAGGGTATTATTTATAAATCTTTATCCTACGTGGGTCTGAACTATCTGATGACTGCATTTGTCCATATGCTTTTCCCTTTTATTATTTGTAAACCAACCTCGTCTCCTATAGCAGTGGTCCCCAACTTTGGGTCTCCAGATGTTCTTGGACTTCAACTCCCAGAAATCCTGGCCAGCAGAGGTGGTGGTGAAGGCTTCTGGGAGCTGTATTCCAAGAACATCTGGAGGCCCAAGGTTGGGGACCACTGCTATAGGAGACGAGGTTGGCCCCTTCCCCATTGCCCTTCCACCATCTGGTAAATAATGTTCTCTTTGGCCAGGATTTTAGCAACTGTACAGGTGGCAAAGAGAAGAGATTTTAATAGGGGAATGGGTCATTTTTCTGACTTTTTAAAACTTAAAACTTTTATTTTTGCAGTATTTTATTATTATTAAATGTTTAATTGCATGTTAATCTTGCAACTTATGCTTCCCCCCTCCCAAAAAACAACAACACATGGCTCCTTGGACTGGGAGAAAGGTGGGATATAAATAAAATAAATAAATGTATATAAAAATAGTGCATGTGGCATAAATGTGTAACTTATGCAACTTGCGCAAACTGCACAAAAACAGCAGCTGCTTTGTTGCTTGGACTTTCAGATATTAGAAGCATCAGATGGATTGCCTGCATCCATTTCTAACCATCAGCCCGACTTTCTGTGCCAGCGTTTATGCACGGAGTGATTCCAAGACAAGTTGCCCAAGCTTCATAAACCTTGATGGGCAAAATAAGTATTCTTTGTCTCACTCTCACACTGGAGGTAAAGAGTTTTGCTGGGCTTAGACATTCCTTACTAAGATGTCTCACTGTGTCAAGACAGTGTGAATTAACGAAAATAAGGAACTGAGTATTCTTCTCATCCTTATTAGAGACTGAGGCAAGTTTGCTGTAATAGCAACAAAGAAGAATCCCAATTCAGACGAAGTTCATTCCAGTTGTTCCACTGCTACAATCCTAAATCTACTTTTGTGAAAGCAAACCCACTGAATACATTGGGACTTACTTCTGAATAAGCATATACAGGTTTATACTGGGGCTGAATGGGAGGAAAACAACATACTAACTTGATTTCAGTTGTATTTGGTTACAAAATGGCAGTAAGAGAATGGAACAAATATAACCTCCACAGCATCCCCAATGCCTTCTTCCTCCTTTTTTCCCCATGCCTCCCCTTCCCTTTTTCCTTCTTTGGTTAAACAGAATGTCATATCACATGGCTAATATGGATATGTACTTAAATCAGAAGGCACAATTTTGATCCAAAGGAATGAATGGGATGCAAATGGATAGGGAAGGGAAGGTGGTCTGGAGTTGCAAGAAAAAAAAATATAGTGAAGTTTTTTTTAAAATGAAGAAATATAGTGAAGTTTTTTTTAAAATGAAGAAAAAAGAATAACCCATAACCTCTAGGCATCCGCTAAAATGTAAGCAATTCATTCTAAAATGACTAACTGTGAATTACCTGTTTTGGGGACATCTCCATGGTCAAGATAGGTGATGGATGCTGGAAAATAAATAGAGAAATAACAGTGAAGACTACTTGTACTTTTACAGAAGACAAAGCTATTATCAAGGACTGGCCTTTGCCTTTCTCCTGAAGGACAATCAAAACCCCTCCTCATTTTATCTAAGCCTCCAAAACTGTAGTTTCTAGGAAACATAATTATTTTGAGGATCTGAGCAAGTTTGTTTGATGAAATTAAAAAAAAAAACATTTTATCTCTCTAGCAACCAGATGCTTTGGGTAACCTTCATTCGAAGAGTGCCAGCTGATAGAATTCTGTCACCACAATCATCCTGTCAAGAAGATAAAGCGCAAGGACTGACTCAGGGCCTCCTCCTGAGGATCTGGATCCAGGTATCACTATGTAACTTCTAACCCTTCGATTGTTTTATACCATGCTAGGGGCAGAAATATATGAGGTGGCAGCTTCATAATCAGAAAGCAACAAAAAGTTATACCTCTGGAGTACTGATGTGAACTGCACTGCCTCTCGGAACAAAACAGAAGGGGAACAAAGCTTCTCCACCCACCCACCCCGAGATTTCTCCCAAAGTCTTATAGGAAGTCTAGCTAGATTTCTTGGGTGTTTTGCGATCCTTTTTTTTTCCTGGAAAAATGTCAAATTGGGCATGATTATTGCAATACCTCTCAATGACCAACCATCAAATACACACACATTTACAATTGGCAACATTAAAAAAAATAATGCCAGAGGATATTCAGGCATCCATTGATTAAGGTAAGTCCTCTTCTAATTGCAAAACTGCCATCTTGTTTGTTTCTGTCCTAACTCTAATATGTTGACTCTAATGTGTCAACAATGACAATACAGTCCAACCTGTCCAGGATGCGTGTCAAAAGCACAATCCCAAATGGTGTGTGTGTGTACTATATGGTTCATGAGCCTTGGGAGAGTATTCACTCTCTAGCATACTGACAGAAATCAGGCAAAATCACAGAGCTTAAATATATTCTGGGTTCACACTCATCCTCCAGTGTACAAATGCAAGAGTATGTGATACCTTTATAGACTAATAAAAAATCAACATACAATATGTGAGCTTTCAAGGATCAGGACCATTTTGGCAGGCATGTACGAATGTGAAGAACTTAAAGTCCAAAAGGTCACAAGAAGACAGGTTTTGCCAGGGAAGTTACTCTTAGATGTAAAGTTCAAAAGTTCTTGACAAGATGGAATTCACCCGACATATCTTTCTTAGACATAGTGTCTCTTCTCATACCAACATTGGAAAATTGAAAATTTCTACCTGCCTCTGCTGTGTGTGGCACATGCTCCATAGGCTGCCTGGGCATGAATAAGGGTGTGCATCTATGCTTGGCAATTACTGGAAGCTGAAGTTATTCACTTGACTTTTCTGATCCTTGTTATCCACAGAGCACCTGCCCTCAGCCCAACTCTGATGCTCCCTTTGGAGAATGGTGGGTTGATCAGAGTTCACACCATCAGTGTATGTGAAGTGGCAGTACAGATGTCAAAAGTCTCATGGTGCACTGTAACCCACTTTATAGATCTTTTTCCTACATCTTTTTAGTGTGAAGTGCAGGGAGGAAAGAAACCTCTCAGCTGATACAATTTTTGTAGAGACTCTTATATACTGATTATAAGTTGTTGATCCACTGGGAACTAATTGTTTGTATTGATGATCCTTTGAAAAGTTACTCACTATTTACTTGGTGCAATTATAATCATGATCTTCCTTCAAAGAGAATGATTCAATAATTATTTGCTGTCAAGTCAATTTTAGTAATGGAGACCTTTTGTAGGGTTTTCCAAGTATAAAGTACTCAGAAAGGATTTACCATTCCTTTCTTCTTGGGCTGTGTAGCTTGGGCTATGTAGCTTGCCCAAGGCTACACAGGCCAGCTGTTCTCTTGGGAAGTACAGTGCAGAACCAAACCGCCAATCTCTGCCTCTGCAGCCATATACCTAAAGCACTGAGCTATCCAACCAGCTTCAAAGAGAGAATACAAGGGCTAATTTTATTTTTTAAAAATACTATCCTTAATTTCCTGAAGTACATTAAAGGGAGCAACAATAAAATGCTGCAAGTCATCCAAGAAATTTCAGAATAAAAAAAAGAGAGAGAATGTGAGTATCTCATTATAAAGTAACATGTCTGAAGACGTGCAAGCTGAATGGATGCACTATCTCTGTTGCAACAGATATGAACACAAAGTCAGATACTGGTGTGAATGATCTGTCTCCAATGCTTGATCCAGTTGGTCCATTCACACATTCTGGCTCTCCATTTGTTGCAATCACCTCTCATGGGCCACAAAAGTCACCTCTTTTGGAGCCCAAGTTAACTCTCTCATGAAGGCAAACCTTCCTTCCATGAGACTCCAAGTGTTGACGACATGATAGTACCCACCCCCTACTGACCTAATCTACACTAAATCGAATAAATCTGGCATGACTTTGTATAAATAGAAATAAATTACAGGCACTTTTGTGTGTTTTTTTTCCTATAAAGAAAAAAGGAGGTAAAATTTATAATGTGGAGGAACATCTGTTGAACTAATAGCCCTGTTTGGTATTAAATCTGATATGGTGCCTTTCCCTTTGACGTGATGTTGTAAATATGCAGCAAATTGGTACATGCTTGGAAATTCCAGATTACTTGGCAGGCTGCTGAGCACTCTTGGTATTTTCAAAGTGATATTTAGGGTTGGTGTCCATGGCAGCAGCAAAATGACACCAAGAACTTTTAAAGAAGGAATATTCCATCCCTACAGTCAAAGTTTCAGAAGCCACAGTTACTTGAAGCCAATTTGCATTCTGTTTTTCATACTGGCTTAAGCCATGGGCTTTTCACTTTAGTTCAAAGCTACCCAAATACTGTGTGGAGACTCACTGTTTGACCTGAAGCTGACTTCAGGTCAGGATCATGGATCGTGACACAAATACATGGCAAATATATCAAGAACATCTCATTACATCATCCTTAATGGCAAAAGAGCAATCTTGAGCAACAGCCCAGAACAAACATTGTCGTGTGTGATGCAAGCACCCTCCCATTGTGAGTAATTTTGTTACTACAATCAAAATAATTTTGACTTCCTTTGAAACTACTGCACATGTTTTGCCCAAGCACCAACTTGTAAATTCACCTCAGTGATCACTTCAAGTGAATTTCGGTAGCAATTCTTTTGCTGTTTCTGTAGAACCTTTACATAAACAGTAACAAATTGTAGAATCCTGTATAGCTAAAAAAGACTAATCTCTCTGTCCATGTGTCTTTAAAGTAAGTGCAACACTGGACAAACTAATTTTTTTCTTTTGAAATGATTTTGAACCACAAAATTTACTAAATTTTGCTTTCCTTAAATTGCATTTGAACAATGCTGAAGTTTTACCTTAAATATCTGCAGCTCCTCTAGGATCACTTCTTCCATGTCCCACTTTTCTTTGGTTATACTTAGAACTTTGAGTACGGTTCCTATATCTGAAAGGAATAGACATTGCTGGAAAATTAGTGCCTAGGTTTCAGCACATGGTTAACTTTTTTTAAAAAAAAACAATTCCCCCCCTTCCTGCTCTTTTAGACACAACAGTCTACATGGAGCAGATAATGAAAGAAAGCAGCCCTGTTCTAAGTGTGCTCATTACAAGTTTTAGTCAGATTTGTATTCTGATGGTGCCATTTCAGGTATGGCCTTTTCTCTGTTCTACCTGAAAAGGCTGTCATATGTTTTAGACCAGTGGTTCTTAACCTTGGGTTACTCAGGTGTTTTTGAACTGCAACTCCCAGAAACCCTGGCCAGCACAGCTGGTGGTGAAGGCTTCTGGGAGTTGCAGTCCAAAAACACCTGAGTAACCCAAGGTTAAGAACCATTATTTTAGACTACAGCTCCCACAACGCCTTGCTTCTAACCAAGATGGTTAAGATTTCTAGGAGCTAAAGTCTGAAACAACTGTAGGGCCTGCGTTCCCCCACTCTTCCTCTAAATCAGTGGTTCCCAACTTTGGGTAACACTGTTATTAGTGCTGGCCAGAGTTTCTGGGAGCTTCAATTTGAAAACAACTGGGTTACTCAAGAGTTGGACGCCACAGCTTTACACCACTGGCTGCCAATGACACAGAAACAAAAATGGGTGAATCTGCCTCACTGTTAGTAGGAGAACCTGGTATAGAGTAGCTTATTTTAATTGAACATATTTACATATTGGTAAGCTATACCTGTTCATCCAATAAAGAAATGTTGAGATATATGAGAAAGAAAGAGGGAACATGTGTGTGGTCTTTCTTCAGGCACATCACCATGGAGGAGCTCTCCAAGTATGCTGAAACAGATTTCAGCAAGTCACATTAGTTCTATATAACGTCATGGAACAACGGGATCCCAGATTAGTCACGGACTCATTGAATTAGCCTTTGGGAGACTATTTGTGAAATGGGGCCAATAAATTATGTTCAACATTTACCAAATATCCTTAACTAAACACAAAGATGGAAAGAGACAAACATTTCATTCAAGTCACTTCACCACAACTCATGATCTCTCAGAGCATGCAGAATAGTTCTGGGTAACCTTCCTATCCACAGTGTCACGGGTACACCTTGCTTCCTCTTCATGTTTTAAAGCCTTATTGTGCATGCTGCTGCAGCAACAAAAGTGAAATCAATTGTTCTGGGCTATTTCCAATGTATTCCTCCCTCACTGTGTTGTATTCCAAAGCTACACATGAGATATGCATATAGCAGTGATGAAACAAACAAAAGATCTTTGAATTAAAAAATAAAAAAACAAGGCTAGTTTAAAAAATACCTACTACTGAATTTAAAAATAAACTGAATGGCATTCAAAATGCTGCATGTTTGTTATTACAAACATATTTCATCAAGGTGGACTGGTAAGACAAAAGAACACTAAAATAGAATTGACATTTATGTGCTTTGAAGAAAGTGTGGATGAAAACTTAAAGATAGTTTCCAGTGGATCTGAGACACTAAAGCTGGAATCTTTTAAACAATTAGCAGAGAATAAGTCTCATTCAATTCAGTGGCTGAAATCCTGTTTGGTGATATCTGCCTGCACAAGAGAATTGGCATTATTAGCAGTGACAGTTTGCCACTGATTAAAGACTTTTATTTTAGGGCTGTGCACAACCGGTACACAATGTGATGAAATTCTGTCCACCCTGAAATAACAAAAAGAAGGCTTTGTACAGTGGCAATTTGCCAGTGCCTATGACATCATTCCTGCTGCGCAGGCAGAGCTGTCCAACAGACTTTATTTACTTTTCTTTTTAATTTTTTTAGTTACATACAAAACGAAACAAAAAAAATACACTCAATGTGCTCCCCCCTCCCACTGGGACCCATAGAATTGCAACCATTGAAATTTAATTTTGAGTCGATGCCTATGAGATACTGACTGGTCACACAATATCAGAGGTGCTTTTCAAATACAATTTTGGTGTAAATTTGAAAAAAAATTCTTACTTCTCTCTAAGGTAGTGAAAATGAGCTGCATCTTTTCAGACTCTTTCAGAGTCCTACTATGAGAGAATGATTGTGGCTTAAATGATATGCTCTCTGATTATATGTATACATAAATTCTCACATGGGGGGGGCAAGAAAGAGGCACCTCATTTTCAAATTTGGGTGCTGGCTCCCTCACCCCTTATCTTGGGGATGAGCCACTGATACTTGACCATTTGGTGGAATGATACAATTTGGGGGATATCACACACAGTTCTGTCACTCAGACCTGAACCATGGCATCTTGCTATAGAAAAAATGGCAACGGTGGATCTCAATACATTTGGATATGGGAGAGGAAGAAATGCTTCGAACAATGTAAGGCATGATAGTTTTCTCTACAAAATGGTTGCCTAGTGGATTTCTTTACCTTGATCTGCCTACACAGAGTGAGATATTAAGGCACCATCAACATGGGGGCAGAAGAGTTAAATCAAGTCCATTGAGTTGAAGTCAATGAATGGGTCTCTCCATGTACATATTCCTTACGGTCTGGTGAAGGGCAGAACAGAGTTTTTCTGTGAGATGGCTAGTGATTCTGCTGCCTTTGTTTTGTTTCAACTGATGAGATGTTGTAAAGTGTTTGAATTGTAACAGACAATTTTAAGGTGTTTTTATTGACTGTAGCTCTATGGCCAAAAATCTGCTCATATAAGGTAGCTTAGAAATGTTTCAATAAATAGATGGGTAAATAGACTAACAATACTCTTGGAAAATGTACACCTGTTTTACACACTCACTTGCATCCCTTTGCGCCTCCAATGGGAAGTCCAAAGTGACACTGATTGTTACCCCTACAGCGAACTTATGAATTAGTTTAGGATAACAGATGATGACTTGCCTAATGTTACCTAGTGCGTTGCATACCAGTTTCAGGCAATTTGATGGAGTGATTAGAGTATGAGACAGGGAAGTGAGAGAGATCAGGGTTCATATTCACCACCCTGCCATGAAGTTCACTGGGTGACTTTGGGCAAGTTATGTTCCCTCAGTCTATGAGGGAAAGAGACCTATGCATGCTGTCTTGCTGTTACAGGAGGAAAGGTGGGATACTAATGTAGTGTAATGAATGAATGAATACTGAGCAGACAACTACGTTACCCTCTACACTACATTAGCTTTTGTTCTAACTGTAAGGGAAGGTTACTTTTAGCTTGACCTTGCACTTGACACTTTTAAAAAAGATCTCTACAATTATGACTACTGGCCGTGACGGCTGGGGTCTTCTGGGAGTCAAAGTAAAAAAAAAAAGTAACTTTTCTAGGATCTGCCCTCAGTAAACTTACTTATAAATGAATTAAATACCCTACTGTTCTAACTGTAAGGGAAGGTTACTTTTAGTTTGACCTTGCACTTGATCTCTACAATTATGACTACTGGCCGTGATGGCTGCAGTCTTCTGGGAGTCAAAGTAAAAAAAAAAAGTAACTTTTCTAGGATCTGCCCTCAGTAAACTTACTTATAAATGAATTAAATACCCTACTTAATTCCAATTTCTGTGGGAATTCTTGACTGCCACCTACTGACTGGGAGAACAAGCTGCATACTGCATTATCACCATCTGAGAAGTGAACCTGGCTTCAATATCATTAGGCACGTGGATTTGGGACATTAATAACAGTACATAAATTTGGAACTACGCAAAAGAACTTGATGCCCAGCCTTGAAGATGATTTATCATTGAAAGCTTGCTATTTGTTTTTTGTTTGTTTGTTTGTTTTCTAGGTTTTTTTGCTTTATATTCTTAATGGTTTGGCTGATTGATTGAAGGTGTCACCTGTTTCTGTATTTGTACTGTTTCAACAACCATGTGGCCTGTTCCTGATTTTTTTTTCTGATTATATTCAGTTTCACAACTTGCAGGCATCTGGGCATCTATTTTTAACAAACAGCAATACTGAATTAGAGCTGTTTCACATACTGGCCTTATGTAGCTATAAAACTTAACTATATTTGAATTAGTCATGGCTTCGCACCTGAACCTTAATTAGGATTATACCACATAACTGTGCCTTAGGTTGCAAAGCAGAGCTGGGGATTATATTCAGTTTCACAACTTGCAGGCATCTGGGCATCTACTTTAACAAACAGCAATACTGAATTAGAGCTGTTTCACATACTGGCCTTATGTAGCTGTAAAACTTAACTATATTTGTATTAGTCATGGCTTAACACCTGAACCTTAATTAGGATTATAGCACATAACTGTGCCTTAGGTTGCCAAGCAAAGCTGGAAAGGTGCAGAATCCGTCTTAACCGCCCTTTGCACAACACAGAAGTCTGCTGCAAACCATAGTTTGCATATCCATTTCAAACCATGATTACGTGTTTCATGATCAGCTCGTAAGTGTGGATAATGGAAATAAAATCAGTTAGATATTTTGATGGCATAGAATTATTGCTCTAAAGAACATATGGTGCTCAATTAAGAAATGAATAGGAATGTGAGTGCTTCCTTATATCACCAGAAGCCACTTTATGGAATTGATGTAGGTTGAGTTCTGATCTCCTGAAACCCTTCCCATGGGTTTCATGATCAGCTCGTAAGTGTGGATAATGGAAATAAAATCAGTTAGATATTTTGATGGCATAGAATTATTGCTCTAAAGAACATATGGTGCTCAATTAAGAAATGAATAGGAATGTGAGTGCTTCCTTATATCACCAGAAGCCACTTTATGGAATTGATGTAGGTTGAGTTCTGATCTCCTGAAACCCTTCCCATGGACCTTTGTTCCTCGGATGTTTTTGAACTGCAACTCCCAGAAACCCCAGCCAGCACAGTTGGTGGTGAAGGCTTCTGGGAGTTGCAGTCCAAAACTCCTGAGTAACCCAAGGTTAAGAACCAGTGTCCTAAAACCCTTCCCATGCGACAACAGGGAATAATATTGTGAGGGTATACTGGTGTGATGTATCTTGCCTCCTTCAATCCCATATGTTCATCCACTATGGCAACTTAATTGCAATCTGGAGCACTTAGTCAACTAACAGTTGAAGTTATTGCCTCAGATCAGGAATTATACTTCACTCATTCAACAATCTTCAAGACTGAAGTCTCAAATCCATAATGGCTTTTACCTATAAAACTCTCATTGCAGGAAGATGCATAGGAAAGAAAGGGGGAGGGAATGACATGCCTCTCCTTCTTGGGCTTACCTGTCCCTAGGAACATCACATCATACTGGCCATCTTCAGCCATGACACGATCTACCACAATCTGAGTTAGCCTGTAGTCCACATTGATTTGAGTAAAAACAGGTGCTCTGGTCATGGGGAAAACTGATTTGTGCATCACAGGATGGCGCTTTATGAAGCTAATGACATCATCAGGAAAATCTCTTGTGGACTTGATCAATGGGTCGTACGTTTTGCTAGGGCACTGAATAAGGAATGCATAAGAAAAGAGACATAAGTTTTCCTTCTTCACTGACATATAACAATAATAATTATGTGCTGTCAAATCAATTCTGACCGATGGTGACCATTTTCAGGGTTTTCCAGGTAGAGAGTACTCAGAAGTAGTTTACCATTCCCATCTTCTGGGGGCATCCAGGGCCTGTGCAGACCATTCCCTTCTTCTGGGGGCATCCAGGGCCTGTGCAATTTGCCCAAGGCTACTTGCAGAAGACACATTGGGGAATTGAACTCCCAAACTCTGTCTTTGTAGCCATATATCAAACACACTGAGCTATTCAGTCAACTCTTTACTAGCATACAGATAAATCTTTTTTTTGGGGGGGGGGTTGTTTTGGTCTGGTTGCCTGTAACAAGTAAAAATCACTTTCAGCATCCAGAGAGAAAATCCTTTAATTGAACACTCAGTTGTACTCTCAGTTGGAAAACATCTTCACTGAAAACCAATGTTAAGCCTGCATCCAGGAAACATGTAGAACTGCAGTCAGTCCTGCGTCCATATTAACTTTTGTCCCACTAAGGACATAGCATGCCAAATACATTCCTTACAATTGTACCCTCATTGTTGATATCTGCCAAGATTTTATGGACTTTGTATTATTAAAAGCGGAAAAGCGACTACCCAAAGAAGAAATAATGGGGTGTGGGGCTTTATAAGCATTGGTTTGTTAAGGAAACAATACCTCTATTGATCCCAGTGATGAGCGCACACACTTAGTTATGCTTCTTGAGTTGATGTACATTATGTATATGGGTTTCTTTTCTCTCTCTCTCATATTGTTTATTATCTTGGTAGGTTTCCACATAATTTAATTTATTTTTCTTTCTGTTATTTTCTTGTAATTAAAAAATGAATAATTAAAAAAAAACAATTGTGCCCTCCTGTGGTGATAACCAACAAGTTCAAAGGCCTGAGCACAGAGTTCACACAAGATAAGTACTAACTTATCATCAGCAATTACCATGTAGATGCTGATTTTAAGGAGAAGAAATATTTAGGATATAAAACAGATGAGTTAAAGTATGACAGTGGCACTTTGTTGCATTAAATGTTGATATAGAAACTGACTTGTTGAAAAGGAAGTGTGTGTGTGTGTGTGTGTGTGTGTGTGTGTGTGAGAGAGAGAGAGAGAGAGAGAGAGAGAGAGAGAGAGAGAGATGCCATCATGTAAGATCTAAAATATGGAGCACCCTTAATGGGTTTTTCAAGGTAAGCAAGATATTTAAGGAACAGTTCTAACAGTTATACACACACACATTGTGAGTGTCTGTGGATGAGTGGGGACCTGAAGCCAGGTCTTCTGACTCCAAGTCAGTCATTATCTCCACTACAATACACTGGATATCCCTGGAAATCAATAAGCCTTCAAAAAACTCGATACTGGGAAAGGGTGAAAGAATTTCCAAACATGTGAACATTTAAAAATCCCTGTTCCTATCTATTACAGGTTTTTGATTTTGCCTGTGTCATGTGTGCCCAGGATTCTGAATTGTGCAATGTTCTGAAAGAAAGAAAGAAAGAAAGAAAGAAAGAAAGAGAAAGAAAGAAAGAAAGAAAGAAAGAAAGAAAGAAAGAAAGAAAGAAAGAAAGAAAGAAGTTAATACTCCATACTTTTAATTTATCCAATAAACATGGGTTTAGAAATCTAGGAGGAAGTTGTTGCTCGGTCCTACATAGCCAAATGCCCTAAATATATTGATATGTATCCTTGTGTTGCTCCTACCCTCAGCAACAAGAGATATAGCAATTGGACTTATTCAGTAAGTCCCTGCCATTGATTTGACTCCCATTCCAGAGTTCTGACAGCATATTTTTCCTCCAAGGTTTTTTACTTTGACATTGCTGGCAGGAAATATATAGGTTCAGGCTAGTCACTAACATACAACTGAACTGCCCAGTTGCTTTGGATTGAGTCAAATGCTCTTAATTATTAAGACACTGCCCTCTTGTGGCTGTTGTGGGAAATGCAACAACATTGTGCCAAATCTTGTGCCATTATACGACTGTGTATGTTTGAGTGTGTGCATTTGTTTGCATATAGACCCAGAGTTTTCAAGGTATCAGAAGGCTCTTTATTGCTGCAGCTGCAACAGACTAACACAACCACTCTTTTGGCAAATATTAAAACACATACAGACTCAATACATTAAATCCTATTACTCATGCTCTTGAGTGGTATAAAACTGGTCTACAGAAGAGTTCTACTAGAAACTGAGGCAATATATGCCATAAAATATAATCAGGCTGGGAGGAGGGAAGGAAGCTCTGCAGCCAGCATATTAAAAAAAAAACAAAACACTGAGTTTATTTGCTTTTATTGCTTTTGGCCATAGATAGGATCATAAGGAATAACGTTAGAAAGATTATGCTTAGTGATGAAGCTAGTGTAGGAGAGCTGTAGTCAGATTGTCAGTGTAATACATGATCACTGGGGGGTGGAAATAAATACACTCAATACACTAGCTATGTTCAGTGTGGCTTTGTCATCTTTATTAACTAGTAGAGCAGTGGTCCCCAACCTTGGGCCTCCAGATATTCTTGGACTTCAACTCCCAGAAATCCTGGCCAGCAGAGGTGGTGGTGAAGGCTTCTGGGAGTTGTAGTCCAAGAACATCTGGAGGCCCAAGGTTGGGGACCACAATAGTAGAGAACACTTTCCCCACCTCAGAACTGTGGAGCTGGATGGGACTCTATGCTTGATGGCACAGACTCCATAACCAGAAGCCTAAGCCACTGAGCTATCCAGCACTTCTTAAACTTGCAAAAGAAGGAGGAGCTGCCTTTGTGCTCAATGGAAGGTCAGTTTTTTGAGCATAAAAATTATTATTTGTAATATTTCTAAACTTCATATGCATATGGTTATATCTCAAAGGACCACACACGGTGACCATTTGCACAGCTGCTGATGTTTCTTCTCTTAAAAGGATGAAACATAGCTAAACAGAATTGCAGCCCTGGCTGGACGTTGGAGACATTTAAAGAGAATGAGACCATCAAAATTGAACTCAGATCATGAGCAGAGGCTTGACTGCAGTACTGCAGTTTAACCACTGAACCACGAGGCTCCTGATGAGTAAGACAACCTGAATAAGAACCATAAAGCCCTGAAAACTTCTGTGTCTCCAACCGGCAAGGCAAAGAGCCCCCACAACTGCTGGGGGCTCTGCAATTTCTGCAAAACGTCTCTAGTGTGGCTCCCCTTTGAAATGTAAATTACAAACAGAAAGCGCGGATAGACTGGATGATGGTTAGGAAAGCTGTGAGCAAATCATTTTGGCGGTTCAAATTCTTTTTCAAAAAATAGCTGTCTTAGTTTTGGGCAATTCATGCAAAGCTGTGCAATTTTGTGCAAAATTTAATTCTTGCCAAAGTGAGAACTTTATTGGGACTGCACGAATCCCTCCCCATCTTCACTGAAAAGGAGGAGAATACTGCAATTCCTTATTCTTGCATGTTCTGATGAGACTAGCCAGAATTTCATCCTTAGGGGTGTACACATGAAGAGGGTTTCAGGTGACTGACAGAAAGAGACTCACTAGTGAACAGGCTCAAATGTCACTCATATTAAAGGTCATGTCTCCCCAACATCATGTAGGTCAATGGACCCATGCTCTCCACATCACACAGTTCGCTGGTCCTGCCTCTTGGCCTCTTGGCATAAACACTCATAAAGGTCTCCTTCTGAGAAAGCATCCATGATGCTCAGTGCAGTCAGAATTCTCTCATAAGTTCTAAGTCATTATAGACAGCATCCTCTGGTTACAGTGGACCTCACTGCATTCCTCACTGCTATGCCTGCTGCCATGAGCCCTACTGCCTTTCCTAACCGTGTGTAAGATAAAAGGATAGGGGAAGCCTTACAGTGGTGACAAACTTGGACATATGTTTCAAATGCTCCTGCAAATTAGAGACTGCCAATTCTAGTATTTGAGAATTAATCTTTTTATTTTCTATCACTTCCACCATCCATTACCACCAGCCATATCGGATGGAGGAGTCTGTAGCTCATAAGAAAGGGGTTTCTCAATGCTAAACTAGCAGTTGCTTCTATGTAAGGTATCTTAGGAGAGAGGCATGTTGGCGAATCATCAGCTGACCCTAACTGAGTGGGGTCCTGGCCTACCAATAGATTGCTATCTGCTCTACATCAATGCTGGTGCGATGAATCCTCTGATAATTAGGTGAGGCAATTATAATGCTGCTCCATAAGGCAATCATACCAGATAGAGGAGTTTCATGTTTCCCCAAAAGAGTAAATTGAAACTGACGTGTATGATACATATGTCTACAGAATGATCTTTAACTTCACTGATGCATCAATTGAGGCTGAAAGACCAAAGCTGTAGAATGCTACTGGGAAAGGGAGGGAGCAGGGATTTGGACTGGAGTCTCCTAAACTTAAGTACATTTAATATTATGGAACAGCATGGTATCACATGATGGCAGGAAGGGAGAACTTAATTTATGAGATGAAATTAATCAAGACTGAATTCAGAATCTCTCTAGCTCTTCAATGACTCATTAAAAGCACGGACTATACATACCGCAACCAGAAATCCTACTCCGTCCTGTTGATGACTACCATTCCTTCAAACAATCATTACAGCTAAGCATGCACCACAATGCTGAAACCACTTATCTGTGGTCCCAGTGGAGATCAACGGTTCCAGAATTGTAGCCTCAATCTTCTCATGCTAACTAGATAATTCCTCTATATTTCCTGCCAGGTGGAGCTATAACATAATCTGTGAAAGAGGAGCCTCTCCTATCTAAGAAACAGACAATTTATAATGTGTTTAAGATGCTTCCTTTAAGTTTGCAGATTCCCCATGTGACACAGACCTTTTAAACAGAAACAAGAGGTAATAATCTCTGAGCACATTCTTCCAATACCAAATATACCATTTGGCAGATATCTTGAAATTAAATTTAGTTAAGGACTCAGGTTTTGGATAAATTTCAGC